TCATTGTTCGTTCATGATAGTTAATACATTAACTAACATTAACTAATGGAACCTTATTGTAAAGTGTCACCTTAATATTAAATATCAATATATTATTTTTATTCACTTCTTCTATGTAACAGAATCAGATATAAGTTTTTTTTTTTTTTTTTTTTTTTTTACTAATATATGGCCCTTTCCTGTGTGACAACTAGCCTTGTTCTCTCTATACCAGTTTCTATGTGACAATAATACAATAAAATCTCTTGTATGCATGTTTCACCCAATTAATAGTTTGATATAAAAGGTATATTCATGCACATAAATAAAAATAACCGATGTGTTGCTATCCTGCTGTGACACCCTACTTAGCAATTAATGATAGAGTCTGTGGGAAAACTGACATGTTTAAATTGAATAAAATCATCCTTTGCCTGCTGTTAGACACAAGAATGCCTGTATCACAGATGCTCGTGAATTATTACTTATAAAGCCGTCACAATAAATAACACAATGTCAGCAGATTTCTGAAATTACAAGAGAGGACAGTCATCAATCACGACTCTCCATTCAAATATTCAGTTGATTTCTCCTGTGTATTTCCTGCAGTGCAACAGGGCATGTCGGGAAGGATCATTAAGTTTGGAAATATTAATTATAAAAATAATGCTTTTTTTTTTTTTTGAGGAAAAAATAAATCTTTCCCTTAGCTCCTCCTAAGCTCAGCTGTCTACCTGTCGACTGTCTCTGTATTTGTATCTACAGACACATCAACAAGATAGAGAGCAATGATAGAGAGACGGATCGTCTTGTCCGCTTGAGCGTCTATCTCACAGGCGGCTCCCACAGGACCCCACATACTTATGGCCTCTTCACTGTCACTTAATTCATTACCGCAGAGGAAGCCAGACCGAGGGGACTCCATTAGACTAATTTTAGAGAAGAGGAAAGATAGATGCTTTCCCTTTCATTAGCACTGACTGATGGCTCGTCACCTACACGCCGTGGATGACTGGCATGAGGGCGATGACAGAAACATGGTGGTGAACACACCACTTGTCCATAAAGAGTGTCACTTTAGACGGGTGAAGGGAAATACATATGATGAGCTGGTCACTTTAACAGACCTGCCCTGCTCACTCAGATACATGACAAACTGCCCTTTTCAAAATGAAGTTAGCCTCCAGCACTGCTCGCCCGGGTGCCTTATCTGAGTACCACAAAAAGATGGTCCAGTGAAAAAGTGATATATAATCAGAATAAATAATGCTGTGCAGAAGGAGCAGAATAATACAAAAAAAAAGATAGGCTAAATATGTCAAGTCTGATTACCTGGATTCTGAATTCCAGGAGAGTGACACCTACAACTAGCCCACCACAATGATCTTTTTGGGCCCATTTGA